CTTGCCTGTTGGTCCCTTTTAGGAACTGGAAGGGACTCCAAGGTCTCCCTGGAGACTTGTCTTCTCCAGGTTGAACCCCCCCAACTCTCTCAGCCTGTCCTCACAACAAAAGGGCTCCAGCCCTCGCAGCGTCTTTGTGGCCTCCTCTGGACCCATTCCAACAGGTCCATGTCCTTCCTGTGCTGAGGACTACAAAGCTGGACACAGTACTCCAGGTGGGGTGTCACCAGAGCGGAGCAGAGGGGTAAAATCCCCTCCTTAGCCCTGCTGGCCACACGTTTGATGCAGCCCAGAGAATATCAACAAAAATAAGCTTTCTCTGGGCTTCTTTGCATCTTCAGAAAGAAAAAAGGACTCAAATCCACTCTCTTCCTTTCACAGGGCATCTTTTTTGTTTATTTTTGCAAGGAAGGGAGAATACAGAATAGATCTTCTCAGATGATAATTTTTTCCTAATATCTCATCTCAATCTCCCCTCTTTAAGTTTAAAACCTTTCCCCTCGTCCTATGGCTTCCCTCCCTGATCCAGAGTCCCTCCCCATCTTGCCTGTTGGTCCCTTTTAGGAACTGGAAGGGACTCCAAGGTCTCCCTGGAGACTTGTCTTCTCCAGGTTGAACCCCCCCAACTCTCTCAGCCTGTCCTCACAACAAAAGGGCTCCAGCCCTCGCAGCGTCTTTGTGGCCTCCTCTGGACCCATTCCAACAGGTCCATGTCCTTCCTGTGCTGAGGACTACAAAGCTGGACACAGTACTCCAGGTGGGGTGTCACCAGAGCGGAGCAGAGGGGTAGAATCCCCTCCTTAGCCCTGCTGGCCACATTTTTGATGCAGCCCAGAGAATATCAACAAAAATAAGCTTTCTCTGGGCTTCTTTGCATCTTCAGAAAGAAAAAAGGACTCAAATCCACTCTCTTCCTTTCACAGGGCATCTTTTTTGTTTATTTTTGCAAGGAAGGGAGAATACAGAATAGATCTTCTCAGATGTAGCAACAGCTGGTGCTGTCACGCTGTCAGTTTGAAGAGCCGTTCTGTCTTGCTGGACTTCGGGTCAGGTTGGTGGTTTTTTTGGGGGAAATAAAGTTCATCCTTTTCCCCAGCGAGGTGAATGAAATGCTGTTGAGGCTTTGGAGCTGGTGCTTGGTGCTTCGTGGGAAGGTTTTCATCCCACTGCCTGCTTCCTTGACAGGGTTTGATACAGCTGTGGGACCAGCAGCCAGGTCAGGTGGGCAAACGCCTTTTGGGCAAGGCGGGGGGAGTTTATCTCAGCAACATCCCTGCTGCTCAGCACGTTATTTCCCTGGAGAAGTGCTGGGGTCACAGAGGGAGCCTGATAATGTTGCAAGTAATTTGCCCCCTTTGCTGCTCAGTGAGCAGCCCAATTGCCATTGGGCAATAAAATTAAATACTTGAGTCCCTAATTGCCCTGCTCTTCGGATGTTCCCTCGAGCACGTGGTGCAGGACGATAAATATGGAATATACATCCCTTTCAGTTGAAAAGATTAATGGCATTTTTTACTCGCCTCGTAGGTATTTAATGAAGTCCCGTGGACTGAAGACGTTTTTTGTTGTTTCAGAAGTGTCTCCTCAACCACGTCTTTCATAAATCTCTCAGAAACTTTGCTTCACGTGGTAATGTTTGGGAAAGGTTACGGAACAGTGAAGGATTTCAGCGTGGCACTGCTTGGAAAAGCTGATGGAGTAGGCTCTTGGAATGATGGTGAAAATGAAATTTAACCACCAGCAGATATTTCTCTTTCTCCTTTATGGAGTATCAATTACTTATGCAGAACCAGTGCTATCCTTGCAACCAGAGGAACTGTTCTCCTTTTCCCCTCCAATCCTGACGGTACAAGTATCCCATAGATAAAACTGGTTAAAATAAACATATTTTGGAGAAAGAATAGCCATGTCTCTGGAGCAGCAAGGGAATTTAGCTGAATGTCCTTTTGTGTTTACTTGATATGCCCATTTTGTGACTGTCTCGCCTCCACTGAAGGTTTGATGAGTGGTGGGACCCAGATTTGGCACCTGTGGGGGGAGACCAGTAACAGTAACTTTTCATCCATCTCCACCCCATGTGTGTGAAAGCCCCTCCATAACTGGGTGGTTCGACGTGTGCATGCCCTCTCTCCTGTGGAGATTTAGGGTGCAGCTGCCCCCCTTCTGCTCCCCTCGGTGGGAATAAAACAGTAGGGTGCAAGCTCCTCCTACGCCACCTCCCTTCCCTCACTGTGGTGGGATGAGTCTCACTCCATCTCCTGCCTTTCTGGGAATCTTGCTGGCTTTCCCTGTGTCCTGGTTTGAGTGACACAGGACAAATTTCTCTCCTAATGCTTGGGAAAACTGCACTTTTGGAAGACTCCGGTGTCTGAATTTTTGAAAATATTTACTTTATAGCCAGCTCTGGGATGTGTGCTTCAAGGTCTCAGGTGCAGGGAAGAGAGGAGGAGTGAGACCCGGGCACTTGTGTCAAGCTGCCAGTAGGACTACTTTTTTCAGGGGCAAGTGGAGAGGGACGAGCACTGCCCCTTTGGCAAGCAGTCGGGCTGTGCAGGGAACCCGTGAGGAGCTGTGAGATGCTCCTTTCCAAAGGATTTTTAGGGATGTGTGAAGGCCCCTTCATGCTGAGGACGTGGCAGCTGGTGTTAGTGTCTGGCGCCTGAGTGGCACATCCTTGAGGAGAGCTGAATCCATGGCTTAACTCCTCAGCCGGTGAAGCTGGTTGATGCATTTCTTCTGCCTGCTGTGCCCTGTGGGCAGGTGGCTCTGAGAAGGTCCCCTGGCCTGAGCCCCGTGGTTGACATGGTCAGCAGAGGGGTTGGTGGCTGGATGCCCAGCAGACTTAGCACCTGAGCTGCCCCAGAGAGATGCCAGGGTGATCCCTGACTCCGTTTGCCAAGTAGGAGCTGTCTGAGCTGCGTGAACTGGGTCCGGCGCTTGAAGGGATCAGCTCGACCAGGAGTGACTCTGATGGCCCGAATCCAGCTTCACACACTCCATCTCCATGCCTCTCCCAAGGCTCAGGAGCCTTCCAGAGGTGCCTTGAGAATCACTTGGTAGACTTGGTGGACATGGTGCTGCTGGTTTGGGCTGTGGTCCTCAGCCAGATTGCAGTGCGGGAAGTCTACAGCCCGATGGTGGTGCCCAAGTGAAATCTGCAGGGGAGAGCAGAAGGGCAGCTGTGCCTCTCTCCTCTCCTCTGCCCAGGTGGTGCTGGGGCTGCACGATGTTCCAAGTGCAGGTGTCAGAGCTCCAGGGAATCCAAGCAGCACAATTAAATGGGCACCTAGGAGGACAGAGAGAGGCAGAAAGCGCTGATGAAAGCGTGGAGGCGGGAGAGGTGTGACTTTGTCCCCTGTGCTTTGGGAAGTCCAAGAACAAAGGGGTAGTTCCTGGCAGAGGAGAGAGGCCCCATGCGAGCATGGGCTGTGGTGTTGGTCTGTCCCCTTCCCAAGAGGTGCGATCCCCTCAGGGCAGGGCAAGTGGAGAGGGACGAGCACTGCCCCTTTGGCAAGCAGTCGGGCTGTGCAGGGAACCCGTGAGGAGCTGTGAGATGCTCCTTTCCAAAACCTGAGGAGCAGCATCCCTCCCTGTCCCTTGCTAGAAATGCAGCTGAGAAGGACAAAGGAGAGCTGCCGAGGCTGGAGTGGGATGTTTCTCCTGCTGTCCACAATGTGCCAAGGGCAGGTGGTGCATGCCTCTTCTCGGGGGCCATCTCTGTCTCCCTGGGAAACACTGCCACTCCTCAGAGCAGTGTGGAGAGCTTGGCAAGAGGGACAGCAGAGTCTGCTACACACCTGCTCTCCTTCTTCTCCTTGCCCGCTTGGATTCCCTCTGTTGCCCACGCCAGAGAGCTCTCCCTCCAACCTCCTCTTCTTACTCTCTGGCTGCCCATCCCTCTCCTCTTCACAGGTGGTTTTGCGCTTCCTGCTTGCGCGTGAAGAGCCTGGCAACCTTTCCATGCAAGAGTATTGTTAGACAGGGAAAGCCATGGGAAGCTTGACTCAAGAGTGCTCTACAAAGCCAAGCTGGCTCATTTTACCTCCTCTCCTTGGAAAACTTGTGCAGGTGCTCGCTTTCTGGAGCAGCTGGAGGCCTCTGTAATGGAAATGTTGATGTGAAGAAGGGGTCAAGACCTACCTGCCCAATGCTGTTGTCATCATCCAGTTTGTGGAGCTTGCACAGTTCTGCTGCTTCTGCTTTTACCTCTCGTGTGGCTGACTCCTCGCCTGATGTCCTGGCAACCGCAAGGTCCTCCTCCTCCTCCTCAAAGAGTTCCCCACGGTGTTGGATGAGGAACTCGGCCAGTTGTGTCACCTGCACCAAGCAAAGCCTTGGTTTCCAGGGAGGTGGCAGCAAAGTGGCCCAAGAGCCTCTCCCCCTGCTGAGCCTTGCTTCTGAGCAGCAAGGGGCGGCAGTGCCTGGCACTGCTCTTCCCATCAGCTCTTGCCGTCCACGAGTGTTTGCTGAAGAGAGGAGGCCCCAGGGAGCTCTGAGCAGCAAAGCTGGGCTGGGCCCGGCAGGTTGTGGCCAGGTGGTAAGCAGAGCATACCTTCTGTGTGACCTCCACCAGGCCATCGAGGGGGAGGGTGTGCTCGTCAGGTGGGCTGAGCAGGTTGGGCCCCACACAGATGGCCAGGTTGTGGGCACTCATCCTGCTGCTGGCCCCCTTGCTGCTGATCCTTTGCAGCAGAGACAGCAGCTCCTTGAGGAGCACCAGGTTGCCTTTGGGCAACTTGCTGGCCACCCTGAGGGAACAGGAACACAAGGTGAAGAAAGGAGATGCTGCCAAGAAAGGTCCCCCAGACTGCTCTCCCTCCAGCTGAGCCAAGGCAAGGCTCCCTGGCCATGCCTGCTCTCCAGCAGAAGGGTTGCCTTGGCTGAGGTACGGCCACCTCGTTCCCTGCCTGCTCTTCTGGCCAGAGTCCCTTCCTGCAGCAACCCTCCCTACACGATGCCTGCCCCAAGTGCTCCAAGGAGCTCAGTGCTTTTTGGTGCCACTTTCCCCCCAGGCCCCACCCCCCAGCAGCCAGCGGTGCCTGCCCCAGAAGACAGCTTTGTCCAGGAGGCCATCCGTGGTTTTGCAGGCAAGTCCCCGTGGAGCAGGCAGGCTGTTGGGCACACTTACTCCTTGAGTGCTGCCACCTTCTCCAGCGTGCTGTCCTTCTGCAGGGCACTCATCCACTCCTGGTAGAGCGGTGCCTGCAGGAGCTTGGAGGGGATCTTTCGGAGGAAGTCCTGCAATGGCAAAGGCTGTGGGTGAGAGCTGGAGGGCTCCTGCCAGGAGCAGCGGCAGCTTCCCCGGCGCTCTGGCTCAGGAGCAGGCGGCTGGCTTTGGGCTGCTGCCCATCCTGTTGGCATGGCCCGAGGCGGGAGCTGCCAGGCCCCAGGTGAGCAGGCTTCACCTTCAAGATGACGGCCAGCAGGTGGGCTGGCTGGCTTTCCAGGTGGACCTCTGCTCCCGTGTCGAGTGCCTCCCGGAGCTGCCGGGATGCTTGCTCGCCGGCCGCCAGCCTGAAGATCCCCTCCGTGGATGGCCCGTGCCGGTGCAGGAGAGACAGCAGGTCCTGCAGGACAGAGAGGAGGAGAGTTGCTGGAGAGCAGAGCCAGGCTTGGCGGGAGGTGAGGCCAACTGAGGGGCAGGAGCCCTGGTGGGCAGCTCTGCAGCTCTCAGTGGGGCAGGATGGAGGGGTGGGGGAGAGCGGGAGGAGCTGGCCTTGTCCCCGAGCCCCAGGTGGGGCCCCCAGTTTCTGCTTGGGCCACAGCCTGTGCAGAGGAGGCCGAGGGGTGGGCAGCAGCTCCACAGGCATGCTTACTTGGATGGTGTGTGGCAGGGTGCCATCCTGGCTGCAGAGCTCTGCCAGGGGCCGGCCAAAGAGAAGCCCGCTGCGGCCAGAGCCCGAGGAGGAGCTGGGCGCCGCCGCAGCGGTGGAGGTCCCTCGCCGGGCAAATGGCCAGGGCAGGTATCTCCTCCAGCTGCTGCTGCTGCTTCTGCTGGTCCCGCCTGCTGCCAAGGGCAAGAGAGCCAAGAGGTGTGGAGCCCAGAGGTGTGTGGCCGGGGAGCGCTCCCCCAGTCTCTGGGCACTGCCCCCCTGCCACCCAAAGGCAGGGAGCTGGGTTCTTTTGGGAAGAAGGGTCCCTTCTGAGGGGGCTCAGCTCTCTCCTGCTGCAGAGCCATGGGGAGGGCCGTGCCCTGCAGGAAAGGGGGTGGCAGCAGGCACGGGGCAGCAGGAGCGCCCGCCTGCCCGCCCGCCGGCGAGAGGGGGAGAGCCGTGCTGTGCCCTGTCTTGTGCAAACTCACCAGCTGTGTGGGCAAGTGCAGCATGGCCGGCCGAGGGGACGGGAGGTGGGTTCTGCTGGGCACCAGCCTGCAAGAAATGCCCTGTGCTCAGGGAGCAGCCCCGCAGCGGGAAGGGCCCGCGGGGAGCTGCGCCGGGCTCTGGGCTGGGGAGATGGCCTCCCGAGGCAGCCTCACCTCTGCCTGGCGCTCGACCAGCCTCTGCAGGCTGCTGGCGTGGAGTGTGGTGGCCTGGGCAAGGGGAGAAGAGCAGAAGGTGAGAAGCCCTGCAGGCGGTGGCGGGCTGGAGCAGGCTCTGCGGGGCAGAGCGGAGACAGGAGGGAGACTCACGGCCTGGCGGCGTCTCAGCTCCTTCCTGAGGAGCTTGATGGAGGGCAGGCGGGTGAGGCGGGCTCCCTGCGCTCCTCCTGGTGGCCTGCGCATGGGGATGGGGCCGGGGCAGAGAAAGAGCAAGTGTGAGATGGCAGCTGCCTTGGGCGTCTCCTGGCAGCCCGGGGAGCACTGCCCAGGTGCCCCCACGCAGGCAGGCAGCCTCCAGCCATGGCGCGGAGAGCAGGGGCAGTGGTGGGGTTGGGGCTGGGCAGGTGTTGGCTGGAGATGGCCGGGTGAAGCAGCTCCGCCATGTGTGCCTGCTGGAGAGCTGCCTGCAGCCCGGGGGGCACCTCTCCCCAGCTGGGGAGCGGTGTTTGCAGAGCAGAGGGCTGCACCTGGAGCATCCCCCCGGTGCTGTGAGCGGTGCTGTGAGCAGGGCTGCCCCAGGCTGCCCGGCCAGGCAGGGCTTACCCAAGGAGGGCGCTGAGCCAGAGCTCCTTCACTACCCGAGAGCTGCAGAGAGAGAGGGGAAAGAGCCTGAGTGC